TCAAAAAAAAAAAAAAAAAAAAAGAAAATCACTTCAGTGTTTTCAAGTAAATTTCTTTTCTTTTCTTTTCTTTTTTGAGTTGGAGTCTCACTCTGTCGCCCAGACTGCAGTGCAGTGGCTGCTCCCGGTCACTGCAGCCTTGACCTGTAGACTCTGGTGATTAGGCGTGCGCTACCACGCCTGGCTGATTTTTTTTTATTTTTATTGTAGAGATGAGGTCTCGCCAAGTTGCCCAGGCAGGTCTCCACCCCGCGCGCTCAGGCAATTCACTCACCTTGGTCTCCCAAAGCGCGGGATTACAGGCTGAACCACCGAGCCCGGCCCAAGTAAATTTCTTTATTTATCAGGCAGATTACATACATCCAAAGATGCTTATTAACTAATCACCCGTCTATATAAAGATAATTATAACTTTACTCCCAGAGGTATGTTTTCTAAATAAACTCATACCCACTCTGTTTATTTAGTCAAAAAATGGGCCACTTTGCTCCCAGTTTGGCTAGTTACTTCAATGAATAAACCAGTCTGTTAGCTTTTCAGCTGTATTCAGTAATGAAATTCTTCAGAAACACAGCAGTGCATGTTCTGTTTAGCCCAAAGAATTCTCGTATTAGAAGTCGTGTCTGACTCATATCAGCTATGGATTAACTCACCATCATGAAGTTCTCCCACAAAAAACAACAACTTTACTTAAGCAATTTTTCTAGATGGCTTTTTAGTGAAAGCACCCTATGTTCCTGTAACCGACAGAAGGGGAGCTGCTCCCCATGTGAGATGGGGAGGTTTGACAACAGTTTCTTGTGTTCATGTTTTGAATGAACTCACAGACACACAGAGAAGCAGGATAAGCAAGAAGCATTATTGAGCAGAGAACACACTCCCAAGAGAGGAGTGAGCAGAAACAGCCTACTGACAGCCACTGCTTCTACCCCCGACTACTGTTGAGCTATAACCTTTACTCTTATGGATGTTGCAGAGTAGGTTTGGGGTGGGCTTTTCCTAGAAATGGGTGGTCATAGGGCTGGGTCTTTGTTACTCCTTCCTCACACTGGGTGGGGGAGTTTTAGGCCTTTTAAGGTCATACTGGGACTGGCACTCTGGTGGGTGGGGATTTTATAAAACCACGGTGCTAATTATATTATGATGAGCATGTGGTAAAGGTAAAAGTAGGTCATGATTATCTTAGGTCAACCCTGGCTGTTGACGTGCATTAACCAGGTTATTGATATTCTACTTCCTGCTGGTGGGCCAGCTCTTGACTGCAAGCATCTTGGAAAAATGCTACAGGTGTATCTGGTAAGAGTCTAACAGTTAAGTGAGAAATTTCCTGTAGCTAGGCTTGCTTGAAAACGAGGGCTGCTGCAGGTGTCAGTGAGCCTGAAGCTTTCCTACAACCGTGAAATGTCTTTAACCTAACCTGCCTACCCTATCAACCCCCTCTCAAGAAATTTGAACCATAAAATCATTTAGGGAAGCTGAACGAGGGATGGAGGTCATGTCTTCTGTAACTGCTTCATGCTGAAAGTAGGCGCTGATCCTACCCATTGGGTCCAAAACTTCTTGCCATTCCTCCTCAGGGTCTGCAGGTGTGACATTCCACAGCTGCAGGGTCAGACCTACAGGAATGGACTCCGGCAGTTGTTTGATCAAATGGGTTTGTGTGAGTTGGCTCCTCTGATGAGTGGGAGTAGAATACGTGTTGTAACATTATCTGGAGTTGGAACTTTTATAATCTAGAAGACATGAATTTAACCATAAAGTTGAAAAGATAAGGCCAGAAGATTAAAAGTAGCAGAATGGCCACATCAAGGTCCCAAAAGAGGGAGGAACCAAGAAATGGGACACACTGTGTTCTTAATGGCATCCCGGATCTTTGCTGGGTTGGCCCTTTCATTATATCTATGTAGCCAGTAGGCCTGATATGTAGTTTTTGTAAAATAGCTTCTACTTCCCTGGTAACATTTATCCGAAAGGCATTTGTGGTATTGACCACTGCACAAACTCCTCCTTCAGAAGCTAAAATATAGCACAAGACTAGTCCATTTTGCATAACTACATTAGCTAGTGAATTCAGAGAAATTGTAAGTATATCGATTGTTGCCCTGTGTTCACAGACAATTGTTTCCAGAGTTCTAGTGATGCCATTTGGGATATTCTCATGGAGGCCATGTCCTACCCATGGGGCAGTCATTCTGATAGTGGCTGCAGTTCTGAGAATGATGGCACTGACCTCAAAGTTCTTTTTGCTTTTGATATGTAGGACAGAGGTGGGAATGATTATTTGTATGCCCATGGGGACCAGGTGGCCAATGGTGCATTCTCTTGAATGTCGGGTGTTTTTGAGACTGGGTAGACTAGCCCTTTCCTAGTCTGAGGCCCTGCAGGATGACCAGAAATGAAAATCTAACTAGTGGGTTCACAATATAAGTAGACTGATTCAGTTTGGGGATGTTAATAATCTTAGAGAATTCGAGAATCACTGCTATTAGACTTTGACCCAACTGTCAGCTTGCCACTGGTGAGGTGAGCCTAGTGTGCCTGGGAGAAGTGTGGAGGGGTAAACAAATGTCCATTAGTTTGTATAGACCAACTGAGGGTAAGCACCTTTCCCATGTTTTGGTTTCCCAAGACCCTTGGACACCAAATTGGGGTGTCAGAACTCCAGTTGTATTTACAGTTGGTATTTGTGTACACTCCCTGTTGCTTCTTCTACAAATATAAGAACTCTCTTTAGCCACATATGTGCCCAAGGGGCAGTCCCAGTACAGGGCTGGAATGTTTGTATTTTAGTTGGATTGGGAGTTCCACAATCCAAGGTGAGTAATCTCATAAAGTTAAGCACCTGGAATGATGGCATTGTACTGGTGAAATTCGATAAGCTTACTTTAAGGGAGGGTATGGAGGGGGGGTCCCCAGGGCATCTGAGTAAGGTTAAGAGTATAGAGAGGAGTTCCAAAAGGACATGCAATTAGCAGCTTCTTAGCAGTTTGGGTGTTGGGATGGCTGACCCAACGTTTTGTCAGATTCAATCCACAGGCGATCCGCTGTGGAAACTGGAAATAGGAGTTACCATTCCAGTCTCCCAGGGAGTGAGGCATTGCCAAGCCCCACCAGCCACAGAAAGCAAAAAAATGTTGGCTTCATCTTTAGCAGTAAAGTAATTACTTACATGTGTTCTGGAGGGTTGCAAGTAAGCTTCAATAATACCCAAATAAAAAGCACAGGCATGTACAAAAGCCCAATAATAGAAGTAACCTGATGGTGTGGCAAAAGGTCACCACATTTGCTTCCCTTCAGCAATCTAGGGAGGCCTTTTTTTTTTAAGAGAAATTTCAGGGCTTCAGCAGGTTCACAGATGTATTCCTGGTCTGTTATTGCAGGCTGAAGCTCTTGAGAGTTGTCTTTCTTGTCATCCTGCAAAAACCTAGGAAAGGATTTTATTCTGGATATGTGTACCCAAGCATTTACTCCCTGGAACTTGACTGCCATGGGGAGACTAAGTACTACATAGGACCTCTCCCATTCAGGAAGTAACTAACTGATTCTGAGAAGCTCTCTTTTTCCAGGTCTTGAGAAGAACTTTGCCTCTAGGCTGCATCCTTGGAGTGGGTGGAACACTAGAGGGTTTTGGGGAAGATTTGATTATCAAGTTCCCTGATTGCCTCTTGTACTTGGACTTGGCCCAAATTAATGACATATGTCAGGAGGCTCTGGATTTCAAAGTCTATAGTTAGATAATTTGTTAGAAATTTCCTTCTGTGTATCATCTCAAAAGGGCTAAGTTGTAGCTCTGCTTCTGGGGCATTCTAACCTGAAGGAAGCCATAGGCCACACTCGAATCCAGGAGTGTGCAGTGTCCTGACGGAGCTTGGCTAAAACTCTTTTGAGGTTTTGGTTATCTTCCTCTGCTTTTCCTGAAGATTGGGGTCTCCAAACAGAGTTAAAATGATAGGTGATGTCCAAAGCACTAGACACCCCTCATGTGATTTTTGGACACAAAAGGGGGTCTATCGTCACTCTGTAGGGACTATGGGAGGCTGAACCTTAGAATTATTACCTTGAGGAGAAATTTTGTTGCCTCTATTGCCTTTTTAGTTCCAGTGAAGAGGGCTTCAAGCCAACCAGAAAAGTATCCACAAACACCAGTAAGTATTTGAATCTTTTTCAGAGAGGCATTTGAGTGAAGTCCTCTCCAGGATAGGTGTCTCGCCTTTGAACTGGCTGTGTTAAAGGCAGAGGTTTGAGGCAACCCTGGAGGTTATGTTTCTGGAACATAAAGGGAAAGATACAGAGGCCTGGGAGAAGTTGGTGCTTAATCCTTTCCCCAAAAATAGCCTGTAAAGTGAGGAGGTCATGGCATCTCTTCTCTGGTGACAGAAATCATGAATTCCCTTTACAAGGGACCATTGCTGACTTTTAAGAGCAAGGATTTTTCCACCCAATTCCCACCATCTTTCCAAGGTCTTTCTGAG